AACTATTTTTTAACCTGGTCCAGTATTGAGCAAGAGCTGCAACACTGGCAGTAATCCTTATGGGCAATAAAAATGGAAAAACAGGAAGTTATCCTGCGAGATTGGAGGCTGAAGTTTCCCCGCCTACCAGCAATGAGGAACAACACTTTTTAAAAAAACATTTCAAACTTACCTGCCAAAATAAACAGTCTAATAAGTCAGTATGTGAAACGTCTCACTCTGTGGCTTCTGAAATAGTTTCCGCCAACTTTCTGCTAATTCATCTCCGGTGTTCAGAAGCCACAGGTGACGACAGTTGTTATCTCACAATGAGGAAGAGTTGCACAGGTGATTGTGAAATAATGCACTAACAACACTGCAGAACAAAGAACAGAGTCTCTATTGTCTGTGTGTCATTTCTATTAGTGTAGTTGTTGCTATTTTGTTGCGGTGAACCTTTTTGTCTCTGTCCGTCTCTCTTTACCATGAAACAGGACATAGTTATCTACATCATGAGTGGATGGAGTAAGGAATACTCAATAAACTAATAATACTCAAAATGCATAATTACTGTATAAATTCAAATAAAAGCAGGTCTCAATTAGAAGCCTGGTCTGGATTTTATAGAAATGTTTTGGGTGTATAAAACCTTAAAGCTTGAGCGAGTTTTAACTTGCTTCGATCGCCTACACAAATATAAATGTAAAATAAACTGTTGTCAATATGGACATAATACGCATCGTTAGTTAGATTATCCACAGTTCAATCATTCAGTTCATTCTACAGTAGCTATGAGCACTAAAGTGTCAACTGATCTAATTAATCATACAAAAGTTATATTCATATTTTGATATTATTTCCCATCTTTCCTGAAGAAATGGCCTGTCTCATATAGAAGCCTGTTCAAAATAAAATGTTTCATGAAGAGTCAAACTCAACTATTTTTGCCTCTTTTTTCAGGTGACACAATGAAAAGTAGTCATCTTCAACATTTGCTGTGTTATAGTTTGATGAAGACAGTTGGAGAACAATTAGATACAAAATAGGATGCAGGCTCCGCAGCAGTGATTCCCAAGGGGGTCGCAAGGCCTTCTTTATTTTACATAGCGTAAGAAAAGATTCAAATTTCATTCATTTCTCTAAAGAAAACTAAATGAAATGGTTACTTTTAAAGTTGCTATTTAAAATCTAAACTTTTCAGATCTGAATACAAACTATATTCCCAGAGCCTTCAGTCTCTGATAAACAGCCTCGTGCTGCATTAGAAGAGTCGGCAGTTAAAACAAGCAGAAGAGCTAAAAGAACAATGAGAGGAAACACTGAATTTGTCAAAAAAAAAGAAGCCTGTTGAAAAATAAACAATTCATAATGCATACAGAGAATTGTATTAGAAGTTCCTAAAAATATATAATCTAATCTCTGATGTAATATTCACAGGAAATAATTAAAATTCATCCAAATCGCTCTCTGCAATGAATGTAATATATAATATCCATAAAATATGCCACTTTGTCAGTTTATTTAATGTTAGAAACGTAGAAACCACGGCAGTACAGGATGATTGTTTTACAGGGCAGTCATGTTTTTACCAAATGATGTATAGAAGCAACGTTATTACAATTCATCCTGAGTTTGACATGAATGTTTGTACCAAATGTACCAAAGTAAAACTCATGATTGTGCTAGAGGAAAGGTCAGGAGATCACCAAATTCATCCTCTGGGCAGCATCAATGTTTCACAGCCATCCAGTAGTTGTTGAGATGGTTCAGTCTGGACTAAAATGCTGCTAACATGACTAAAAAGCACACAGACATATGTTATATATATTTCAACATGCTCAGTATTGCACATAGATCAACTATGAATGAGCTCTTCATGATGACCCACATTCACTCCCATTACACATTTAACTCCACAAATGCATTAAGGTCAGAGAGTTCTCATAAAATGATTCATTCACACTCATTTTCTTCAAGAAATGCCTCTCGTGTTGCCATATTGTTACTTTGTACTCTATTTTTTTCTCAGTATTTGTTCTGTCTCTCTTTACAAAGCACAGACACACACTGCATCCGCCACAGCCTGTTTAAGGTGTGTATTTTGGTCAAACAGTCCAGATCTACAGAGCAAACAGACTCTGAGATCCAATCAGTGTGGAGACAGCAGACCTGCATGGCCCTGCAGTCTGTTTGATGAGGGATCACTATTAAACCTGTTTTAAACTAAATGTCCTTCACTATGAAGGATGCATGTTGTTCATAAATATTACAACATTAAGACAATTCCAAGGATTTATAGAAGAGCTGAACTTGAAGGTGAGCCTAATGTGAACAATTTCATTTGAAAAAATCCCTATATTCACATAATCAATATTCAAGAATTATTCAAGTCAATTTTTAAAGATAGTAACACTTTAAGATGGTTGGAGGATGGCTCAGGTAGGAAAAAAGGTGTTTGAGAAAATCTGAGGCACTTGAGAGGACAGTGATTATTATTAAGATATTAAAAGCTTTTTAAATCACTGCGCTCCAGATTTCTTCAACAATTCTAATAAAGAAAGATATTTACTCAATAAATACTCAAGAGACAGCCATGTTGACGTCAATAGCCTGACATCAAACGGCTGCTGGAAATTCCCCTTTCAAACCTTCATGTCATCCCTGTCTGCTATTTTACCTCTCACTGGAAGCAGGACATTCAAATGTGGGACAGGTATGGGTGGAGGGTGGAGGGTGGGGTCGAGGAAGGGTCAACCCTCTGAACATACATCTTTTTAAGCCTTTTTTTAGGCGGCATACAAGAAAAACTACACTGTAAAACCAGATGAGTTAATTTAACGCAAGAAAATTGTTGAAACTGATTACTTTAACATTTAACAAGTTAAAAAAATATAATTAGCGAAGTAGCTTAAGAATATATTTTTTTTTACTTTCTAAACTGAGTTTGTCTTACTTCAATTCAAATTTAAAGTTAAAATAACTTATCGCATTACGGTGTACCGAGTTTAAGACCTTTTTCACAGCCGCCATTTTGACTGTTATTGGGTAAACACAGGCGTCACCAATGATACTAATTATGGTTCGGTTCCATTCAAACAGCGTCAGGGTGCTGCTGTTGTGCACGCTGGCTCAAAGGCTCAGCTATAACAATTGGTAACCAGTGGGGTAGTGCAGGTTATATATATGTGTGTGTGTTACAATTACAATGGATAATTCTAGTTAATTATTGTGGTACTGACCCAAAAGTAGTAGGCTTACCCGTCACTGTTTATAATACCTTGTCTGTTGCTTGATGGGCTACTTAAAAAAAAAGAGGCCCCTCCGCACCGCTGTTGGTAACTGCTATAATAGAACATTGAATTGAATAAGTTAATAAAAACTCAGTATTTCTAACATCTGGCTCGGTAGTATACATATTTAACTTGTTTTTAGAGCTCTGGCTCAAAGCAGCTGCAGACAAGTTGAGTTTCACCTTCAGATTGAGTTTCAGGAGACGCAAAGAAGGATGTTTTGTTTTACCTTTACAGTAATCAGAGTAATTATTGGGTTGGGCTGGTTTTAAACAATAACTGAAATAATGGAGGTTTCTCCCTAATGTCACAAAAACAGTGTCCTGAATTTATCATTTCCAGAGTTTCCTCCTGTTGTTGAGCAGAGGTATGCCCAGTTTTTAAGAACCGGTGATAACAAAAGAAATCTGATCAGTCTCGGTTTCAGGAGAGAGATTCATGTGAGAGAACAGAGGTAGAAATACCAAATCCTTGTCATTTTTGGTGTGTTTAAAGTGGAATCTAGCCATATTGAATGTTGGCTACTTGAAAAATAAACCTAATTTAACTTAATCTGGTTTAATTTAAAGTGACAGTACATAATATAGACGGCGCAATAACTCCCAGTTTAATCTCTGCAAGTGTACTGTTGTATTTGTGGTGTTCTCTTTCGTTATTTTCACATAAACTCTGTGTTTAATGTTTCATAATTTCATAATTGTACCCAAAAACATCCGGAAACTAACAAAAACGTTCCTGCTCGGGAATACTGAATGTATGATTAACCTGATAGGCATGTTAGATCACAACGGTTACTGGCTGGCTTTCAGTTGGCTCGATTACAACCAAAGAGCCGGTTTCTGTCATTTGGTGACATTGAGTCACTGGCAGGTGACACAGAAAGTAATCACACTGTGTGATTCCAGATAATTAAATTACAGACAATAAATGATCAGTCCATAATAATAATAATAATAATTTGAATTCTAATGCAAAACGATTGATGTGTTTTATGTTCTATGGAAGCCGAAAGTATGTTTGGGAAGTTTTTTGATGTACTAGAAAAAATAAATGAACATTTAAAGAACTGTTGTCTTTTGTTGTTTGTTGTTGTTGTTTGTTGTTGTTGTTGTTGATTTAGAATAATAAATCAACCATCTTTGCTCACTACATCTTAACCTTTCTCACAATGAGGGGTGTAAAAACTACAGGTGATCAACTTCTTTTAAAAAAAAAAAAAATATGAAATTATCGGTTATCGGCTGAATGTGTTGTTGTTCTTCTATTTGCCTTATATGTAAACACTTTGAACTCATCTGTATCTATGCAAACAAACATCCTTCATCATCATCTTCATATCTAACTAACTGAAATCACTGATTTAACGTGCAGATAATTGAATTTATTATATAAGAAAATGTGTTTAAAAACAGCTTCTAACAAATAATGCTTTTTTAAAATATAAAACCATATTAATAATTTGGGTGAACCAAAACACTGAATACATTTTAAGAAGCTAATGTAAACAATAAGCAATCCAAACTTTGAACTACAATAACCTTTTTAATTAGTTCTTATCTTTCTATCTCTGTGACGTCAAGAAATCTTATTCAGCAGAAATGTCCCGCTCAACAATCATGAGACGTTTTTCAGAGAAACAGCTTCCTGAAGAGAATGCCTTCCAGGCAGGTAGGCAGTCAGGTGTATTCTCACAAAGCCCCGCCCCCTGCAGGATGTTTCTCCCTCCCCTCCACCAGCATCATCACCGCTGAGCATCAGCACTGATGATTTAAATCAACCCTTACTGACCATTTTCACACAGAGGAGCAGAAACAACTGAACTAAGAACATTTCCCACTGCTCAGCGTTTTTTACTCTCACTACTCAGGTAAAGACTCACATTTTTAGTTTTGTATCTCCTGATTGATCACTGTTACTTTTAGTTTTTTATTATTTATTTTTTATTAGTTTATAAAATATATTAAGGGTAATTTCAAGTGATAGTTACTAGATGATTTAATATATATTCCTCTGTGTTTTGTACGATACAAAATATGATGATTTAAGAGTTAAATAGCTCCACAAAATGGAAATATTGTGGTTTAATAAGTGGGTTTTTTATGATCAAAAAGTGAAAAAATTGCTTTAACTTTAAGGTGTTTATGTTTGATACAAAGTAGGAAAAACTTAATTAACGCATTCATTCATAATGTAACTGCTAATCTATGAATATATATATGCTTTTGTATAATACAACACTTATGTTATGAATATGCTTAAATAAATTGTTTTAATACTGAATGTTTTTGGGTGTGATGATGCTCAGAACAGTTTTAATATTTCTAGGAGTTATTAAAATCAGACCTTTTTTTTATCTGTTTATTAAGTTTATTTTCTGTCCCCTCCTGTTAGAAATGGAACGAGGACTGATCCTGTTGGTGGCGGCGTTCATGGTCTATGTGGCACCAGGTGTCCAAGGAACGGCTCATTTGTCATTTGCCAGTAATACAGAGGTGGGTTTTTTCCCTTTAATGCTCTCTGTGTAAACACCATCTTGACCTTTGTTCCTCAAACACATCAATGTGACGTTTGTTTAAGGACGTTTACCAGCTATAATGAGTTTTAGAATTGACAATAAAGTGATACGTTTTTTACAAATCTGGCTCTTTTTATAGTAAAAATCCTCCTCAGCTATATAGTTAATCAGTATTTGTTTATTCTTCACATCTCAAAGGTTATATTTAATTTCATGATTCTGGTTTTAAAGAGCTACTCCAGCCATACTGCACTTCCATAAAGTTGGAGAACTTAAAATCCCCAAAATGCTGGAAGCTTCACCTCCTATATGTTGTGACTCAATAGTTCCTTTCTATAGTTTATATCTCTGATTTTCTAAAGCTTCTCCACAGCCACAGAAGACATTATTCAGCAGCTTTCAGTGGCTCCTCGTCACATATAAACTGAAGTTGTGTAAACTTGGTGTTGTATTGGTGTATTTTAATAACCTCTGGCTGTCAATTTAAGCTTTGAAGGCAAATCAATGTATTGCATGTATTCTCAAAAATGTACTAATAGTAGTTTTACCACAAAATATTGTCATAATCCAGCTGGAGAACATAATTTAGTCCATTGAGAGTACAGTAGGTGCAGATGTTTTAAGCTTGTGACTTGGTGTATAAATGACTCTGCTCATATGTGTGTTTTCTACCAGGTGAACATCACTCGGACCGGTTGTGGAGTCACTAAACTGTGTGTGGAGACGCCAGGTAACTGTGATCCTTCTGGAACCAGCAGCTGTCTGTTTGGGTCTGTGGTTGCCAACACGTCAGCTACCAACGGCGCTGAACTGTCCATCGAACTCAGAGGAGACTCCGAAGGATACATCGCTCTGGGACTCACTGTGAATGCTTCAGAGGTAAAAACACACACAGAAGTGTTATATATGTAAAATAGGACAAACTCATGACTCTATAGCTCAGTATATTGTCCCAAATCAAAGGATGGATCCTCTAAAAAGGACTTGGCCATACGTCTGCTCCTTCAGAGGACTGTATAAGACCAGATGGCCCAGATGAGACTAGATCCCAGACACCAGATGTAATGCTGTGTAAGGCAGAAATGTCCACTGTGAAGTTCAGCCAACAAAATGTAAATACACCAGATGAACGAGACAAGTTTTATGAGATGAAATGGGAGACACCTGGCAAATATCATATCATACAACACCTGTTGTTAACATTTCAGAGCTTGCGTCAAAAGCAAATTGACTCGCTACTTTTTTATACTTTTATTGACCTAGTTCTCCTCATATACCTGCTAGATATGACCTGATACATTATTTATTGAGGCGATAAGTACCGCCTGAAGAAAAACTGAATATTTATCTTCTAAAATACTGAAGGCTGTATATAAAGAATAGATCATTGAGTCCTAACAGGTGCTATATGGCTGCCATGTTTTCACAGATGAGTAATAAACTGGTGTTTTATTACTTTATAATACAATTAGTTGAGTTATAGTGGAGCAGTACAAGCTTGCTCTTTTACAGCATTACAGAGATAACATTTTTTAAATTTTTTTTTTTTTTTTTTACATAAGCTTATGATGCTAGCAGCTACCTAGCATGGTGATTGAATAGAGGTGTAACATTCGCAGCTATAGATGACCTGATGTTTAATGAATGTGATTTAATGTGAAATGTAGCTTATAAAGCAGAATGATTCAGACAAATTAAAAATAAAACAAAATAATTTAACTCCAAAAAACAAGGAAAACAACGAGTGGAAAACAAGAGTTCCCAAACCTTTTCCATTAAACTAAAGTCATGGCAACCATTTTTTTTAATCATCTTGCAATAATACTAAAACTACTGTAGTTGAATTGAGAGTTTAGTGAGAAACGTGAGATTCACCGAGGGTCACACAGAATGCAGAAATTAAACAAACACTGCAGTTGACAGTTTATAGCAGTTCATTATTACAATGAACGGGAATATTGTATATAAAATCTGTTTTATCAAACTTACATTTACCTTTTTATTGAGCTTTTAGAGTGATTATTTTAGGGATTATGCATGAATGATATTTTTTTAATTAACATTTAAAAGTGGCAGTTGAACCACTTAAAAAAAAAAGGTTCAACCTGGACAAATAACAAGTTACTTACACCTTTCTTATACAATTTACTTTACTGCAGGTTTTAGCTTTTCATAAGATATAATTTTTGCTTCAAGTGACTTTCAATCTAAATATTCTCCACAGTTTTTAGACAAGCGAGTTGTGTGTCTATGAAACATACTGCGTGATGCAAAACTTTCCAGAATGTGAAAACTTGACATGAAAGAACAAACAAGGAAGTAAAAAAACAAAAACAAAAACAATGGTGCCAAAAACATTCACAGGTGAACAAACAAGAAGATCTTGAAACTTATTGTCTCGACTATTTCATCACTTATTCTTGACACATTTTCCAGCCCTGACAAAAGACGCTGTGTATGACTGTGGAATTTGTTATTGTCTTCACTACGAGGAAGTCATCTCATCCTTTCACCACTAATTCCTTCCTCAGGGTACCACCATGCTTTTCATCTGCGCTCAAAACAGCTCCAACAATGGGTCGTTCTTCTTCCGGACAATGCTGAGAAACAACTCTAACAATGAGCAGAGTGCCATAGAGAGGGTGAGGGGCCTCAAATCAGAAACTTCTCGTCTTATTCTCTGCATAAATGTGTTATATGCTGTATATTTTACCTAAAGGTGACTTACTTTATGTCACATTACCTTCCTAGATTGTGAAAGAAATTCGAGGCACGGTGAACGGCAGCGTGATCAAGTGTGAGTTCAACATCCCAAATGTGAACGCCACCCAGACCAGAGCCAACGAAGATACCACCTTCTCCATCCTCCTCGGGACTGGGACATTTGATGGAAGTAAGAAATCAACACACACTGTACATAACATATTGGTCAACAACATGATTCAAGATAAGATAAGACTTTGTAGATCCCACACTGGGGAAATAGATAAGAAAATACACACACAGAATAAAAAATAAATGTAATTGCACAGCATAAAACTACACAGTAAGTGGAATTTAAGGGAAATATAGGTTATATATAGGATATATAAAGAGCTACATAATTGCACAGTACAGGTATATTCCCTGTAGAAACAGAATTTGTTGTTGATGTATTTTCCCCTGGTAAGCAAGATATAGAAACTCAATGAATGTGAATTAAATGTGAAATAGTGTTTCAGACACTCAACCCACTTTTAGGGATGTTTTTGCAAGATTAAAACAAACTATTAGCATTGTCTTAGCAATTATCTTTACTTATTTAAATATAGCAAAAATACGGCTACGAATACAGATAAACAGCGTACAGGCTAGCAATAAATATAAATCTGGATCACAGATTTTCAAGTCGAAGCATTTACTGTTTTCTCTTTCTGATACTGATTTACTTTATATTTAAACTGTGAATTCAATGCATTTTATTGTGACTTTAAACTAACACAGCTGTCGATGAGGACAACTCTAACCTCTAACCTCCCACTGCTCTCGTCTCCTCTTATAATTGTTCAGATGCTCTCGGTACCTTCAACGTCACTCTGAACAGCGGCCCTCTGAACCTCGGCAACTCGGCCAGCAATGTCGCCACCACACCCGCACCCACACCCAGCACCTCTATGACGACAGCAGGATCTGGAGCTGTCCACCCTCATGGTAAACAACACACAGCACATTATATTATATACTTGCACTTATGTTTAAGGTCTTCAGATGCTCTACACCAGAGGGGATACAGTGGCCTGATTTAACACAATCCATGTCTTTGTGGTTTGGTACAACATTACATTTATACGCAAACAATCTGACTACTATAAACAGACCAAATCAAGTAGGTCAATTAAAGCAAACTTCCTCCACAACCTGAGCTTACATGAATTGTTTGATACTTGTGCAGAAGGATGTGACCTGTGTCACCTGCAAGATAACATTATTAGGGCCAATGAATATGGGGTTTTATTCTATTTTACCAATATGTGATTGTAAATTCGTGGGAAAAGATTCTGGAAAAAAAGCAATGCAGTTTGGTACCTTTTATGGGAAAATGGACGGGAAGTGATCGATCACATCAGGACATTGTTAACGTAAAGCGACGAAGCCGTTGAACTTTATTAGTGGAGGGTGGAGGCAGACTGATATCTGAGAAATCTGAACAAAAAAAATAAGAGCTACCAACTGTAACAAAACCATCCTTGCCCGGCTACTGTGTCATGAAAGAATAAACGTCTAATGAACAAACATCACCTTATAAACGCCCTTTGTGTCTCTGTCCCTGCCAGCTGTGCTGCTCCTGCTGAGTGTCCTCACACTGTCCGTCCTGCTGAGAGCCTGAAGGACTTAATGGGAAGCTGCAGCCAGTCGGATACAATAAAAGATGACTGATGCACAGGATTCACACAAATTATGTATAAAACTTTTTAATGAACCTATTTAGTCATTTAAAGTATATTTTGCACCATGTATGTACCATGCACCGTGTACTTTGAGCTGAAAAGCAAAAACAACTATTGATATGTTATTTGCAGAGACTTCTTGTGGTTTTAGTATTTAAATAACTCGAGTGTTCTGCACTATGGGGAAGAGTTGGCGTGATTCTAGTGTTACACTCGTGTAAACAAACTAGATCTTATCTGGCGCCACAAGCTGTTTTTGCAAATAGACCGGTGGAATGAGTCTGAGGTGTGTCTCTTGGCAGTTAACCTCAACGACCACAAACAGTCAACACCCTTGAAGGGGAAAATCCAACTAGGATATTATGTTAATATTTATGAATTAATTTACTGTGACTGTAAAATATTTGTTGAAGGAAGAGTTCATCTAAAATAATAAAAGCTGAAACTATGGTCTACTTGTTTGTGTGGATGGATGTTTACAACAGGTAGTGTTGGTGGTAATCCAGTGGTTCTCAAATATATCGGTGTTTGTTCACGGGGTTCACTCTCTTTAAGAAATCATTTTCCAGGAGTTTTTTGACTTGCTCACAAATGGTGATATCATTTGCCGATAGGCCAAGTATTTACACATTTAAACTGTTTTATTCCTCATTTTCTTTAGTGCTGCAGGTCAGTCTCTCAGGTTCATTCCAGAAGAGTGCTCAGTGTTTAAGTGACACTCTGGCTTAGCTCGCTTTCCACTGCTCTCACCACAGCTTGTTTGTTTTTTGTGGCATCTCTGGTGATTTGACTAGTTTCCTCTAACCTCGGTTTGCATAGGTGATCTAAATGAGGAGCTAAAATACAAATAATTTTCAGTGTTGAATCCAGGATATTTTCACGACGGGGAAAAACTAACCAACCAACCTGTCCCTTAATATTCAGGTTTTCCAGGATGTGGGAAATACCCCGGTTTACTTTTGTAATTTGTAAAAAAAAAAAAAAAAAAAAAAGCAGCGTTTTCCATTTTAATATTTTATTGCAATTTATTCCTTTACAGTTAAACTGAATAGTATAAAAAAAACCTGACATTAACATACAGACACACAAGGTCAAACAAACTCACCGATGAGGAAAAAAAACAAACACACTGAATCTAAAAACGGTCTTTTGTAGCTGAATTTTCGTCCTCGCGTTAAGACAATGTCCGTCGAGCTGTCGTCTCTGAGAACATTAACAGTCCATGTTTCTGCCTTCTCCTGAAGACCAGTAACGACGCAGTAAAAACACAAACTGGAACCTACAGCTAGTTATTCCTGTTACAGTGATACTGAACAACTGGCCAAAATAAACAAAAGAAAAAATAAACAGCTTTTGGGGGAAATGGAACAGTGTGTGTGTGTGTGTGTGTGTGCACCATGCTTGTGTGTGTGTGCACTGTTTGCTTTGTATCTACAAGATGAGTGTTAAAACAGGAGTCCGAGTTCCTACTGGAAGCTGCGTGTGTACGCCGCATGCGCCGGTGTGGTCCGTGTCTACGAGTCCTCTTCGCCGTTGACACTGTCGCCGTCGTCGTCGTCGTCACCTTCCACGTGCTCGCCTTCCTCTTCTTCGTCGTCTTCTTCATCCTCCCTCTCTTGACTCTTGACCTGCGGGGTGAAAAAGCAAGTTTGTATGAGCGAACGTGGGAAAAAATGTCGTAGACAGTGGTGGGTCGCAATGTGATTAACACTTTAAATATGCAGCGGTCAGACTTTACAGCAAAAGGTTTAAAAAGAGAGATTACTTTAGGATTACAAAATTATTTTTTATTTTCATCATTTATTTTCCTTTGGCACACATGTACTATGTTTATTCCCCCGTGTGTTAGGTTCCCTCTTTTTAAACGGCATCTCCGATTGTTGGTGTGCATTTTGTGTGCGTGTACAGCACTTAAATATACTGGTGAGCTACTTTTGGTGTTGAAAAAGTATCTATTTAGGTGCAACTCAAACTTGTTGCAGCATTAATATAGTCAGACCAATAAAAAAAAAATGAGATTACTGAGCTCCAAAAAGAACCTTTAAAAAATAAAAATACAGTGGAAAGATAAAAGCTGCAACAAGCTAATATAAGCAGATATATTAGCCTGGCTGATTTTTTGATAGGCTAAAAATGCCAGTGTATATTTCAGGTTGACTGAGATGTATGAGGGGAAAAACACGTGGGAACAGACGTACATAAGGTTTCATAAATCTAATGAAAAGACTGCTGTTGTGTGTGTGTGTGTGTGTGTGTGTGTGTGTGTGTGTGTGTGTGTGGAGAGATTACTACACCTAAATGTGCAGTTTTATGCATCTGGCCCCGGGTTTAACACGACATAACTGATTCAGTCTCACCTCTTCCTCCTCCAGCAGGTCTCCCTCCTCTTCCTCATCCTCATCATCCTCATCTGAGTCGTTCAGCTCCTGGCTCTCCCGGTCTCTCTTCATCCCATCATCCTTCTTGTTGCTTGGGTGCGGCGGTGAAGTCACTTCTCCTGGCTCCGTTTTCATACTCTTAGCTTCTGCCAAACAGGAACGCGTGTTTAGAAATCATCGCTCGTTATATTAAAACTCAGATTACAAGACGCACTCAGACACTGTGGCTGATATTTCTGTTCTGTAGGTTTTAGTTTACAACCCATCTAGTCATAATCTCCTCCTACAGATAAATAAAACCAACAGGGAGGGGTCAGACTCTCCTCCCCCCCCAATAAAGCACACAGTGTTGCCCCCTACCTGACTTCTTGCTGTGGTCCTTCTCCATGCGCTCAAGGCTCTCCAGCAGGTCGTCCACTTTGCTTTTGATTTGGGTCAACTCCCGCTTGATGGTCTGCAGCTCGTCCACTTTCACTGCAGAGAAAGGGGAAGGAAACGAGTGTACTCAAGCCACTGACAGAGGTTTTCCTTTAAGAGTGAGGAAGTCAAAGTATTTATCATCCACATCCAGACACACAACTGTCCACTGAACGTACATTTTATTTGTGCGTAGGGCTGTGACGTTACTAAGAAAAAAGAAAACTAGGACTAACTGCAACTATTGTTTATTTTCATTGACTGATTAACAGTTTTTGGATTAATTATCCTTAGTGTTAAATCTAAACATAACGATCAAACAATCAGTTGACTCTCCCTAACTACTGTCCCTTTGTGCTCTGTGCTCCAATAACAATAACTATTATTCGTTTTTATCTCAAGTGAGAAGTTTTTGCAGCTACCCTCTAATTTCCAAAAAGCGATTGATAAAGCTTCAGAAAGTCTTGGAGCAGCAGCAGAGACTTACTTGTTCTGGACGAGGAGGTCCGCTGACTGCTCTTGGAGGAAGAGGAGAAGCTGCTCTTGGTTCGCCGGCTGCTTCCTCCACTCAGGCTGACCCGCGGGCGCTTAGACGGGATCACGGCCCGCGACAAGGGGGGAGGGGGAGCGGGAACGCGGGACGGGTACGAGTACATTCTGGGATCAAACACAGAATATAAAAAAAACACAGAACATTAACAGACTTGAGTACTCTGTCTTTCCAGTTCTGGTGAATATTCAATGAGGTAAAAACTGTTTTGAAAGAGCGTCACTTGCTCTTACACACTGAAAGTTTAACAAAACATAATTAGATCATTGTGCAGACACAAGCAGAGTGACTGCAGTACAGGAAGAAGTTCAGGACCAAGAGAACAGAGAAACACTGACTGATGAGTGACAGAAAAGGTTAAAAGGTCTCTTTTAAACAAACAGACAAATGGAAACATTTTACTCACCTGTCGTAATAGTCTCTCTGAAAGTCGTAGTCGAGTTCAAAGGAGGAACTGCTGTAGAGGAAGAAGAATGAGAAGAGCCCGTGTGAGGAAATACATGCAAGGTGATGGCCAGCTTTTACATTTTTATTTACTTTTCTGGTTCAGTTCCTGAAAAGGTTTTTTTTTGCTGTTGTTTTTTCCTCTTCACCACATTTACTTGAGGTATCTTTCAGTGTATCAGCTGTAACATTATTAGTGTAAGTATCACTGTGACTGACCTGTACATGTCTCCAGCTGAGCGTTTGGTGGTTTTTGACCGGTGAGGTTTGGGTTCTCCAGCCAGGTTGATGTCTGAGGAAAAACAGAACAGGACTTCAAATTTAGTCTCAATATTTATATTTCTAACAGTCTGACAATGATTTACCGTCTCCCTTCACTAAAATGTGTTTCTTATGGTCATTTCTCCTGGATCTTTGGTCTTCACTGTGCAGAATGATGCATGTGCAGAGTTTGACACTAGAGGGTAGAGATGTAACGATACACTCTACTTATGATTCGACACAATTTCAGATTTTCTTTAAATCAGATTGAAGATAAATTACTGAAAGTGTTTTACTTCTCAGACAAAAAAATAATAATTTACAAAATACATTTTCTATATCAAATTATAGAATTGTTTATTTCTGAAACTGTACACATGCATGTCCTTTTCTTTGTTAAAGTGAAACTGAACACTTACAATACCACGATTGATAGTGATTCATTTTTTATCTCATCGATTTGAATCGTGATATATTTTTACATTCCTATTAGAAAAGTTGTTCTCACATTTATCTGCTGCTGGGGGAAACGTTTTCTGATAGAGGTATTTGTTAATTTGACCACCGATGGTAATAAATATTATCATCAGAAGGAAAAAATATTGTTTCGCAAACAACTATTAAACATACACAATCGGTGATGAAGGACTTTAAATAATAGTGCTTTTATTTCAAGCTAAAAAAACAACAAAGAACCAACTGTTCCATCTGGAGCCTTTTTAAAAAGATAAGAAAAGCTTTTCTTTGAATGTTTCTCCCTCCCTCATTCCAGAAAGTTTAAAGAAATCCTTACCAAGTACTTGTCCAACAATCATCCTCCCGTCCTCCCCGTTGACAGCAGCTCGGGCGTTCCTCTCATTGGCGAACTGAACGAAGGCGTAGCCCTTGTGGACGGAGCAGCCCACGATCTTGCCGTATTTGGAGAAGATGGCCTCGACGTCCCCCTTGGTGACCAGCAGGGTGTTGAGGTTGCCGATGAAGACCCGAGAGTTGAGGGAGCGGGGGTCGGTCCTGTTCGTGACGTTGCTGGCGGCCATGAGGGCAGAGGTTGTGGGTGAACGACTGGCAGAAAAACATACAGACACACACACACAAGACCCAGAATTGGTGGCACAATGAGTGACCTTCACCGCTATGAACTACCCGCTGCTGTCGCTGGGTCAGATACTCGAGAGCCCACCCAGCTGTGGCGACTGAATCAGGACATGATCAACAGGCTTTCCCCGGGAAATTAAAACGGCAATAAGGAGAAAACTGCGGAAGTTATGGGTTGACACAACGCCATTTATACTGTTGGTATCAACAGTGGCAAACTTGGCCTAATTTTGATGCTTTGATTTTAAATCTGCTCCAACTTGCATAGAATTTACAAGACGCAAATGTAGCTGCATAATTTTATTCCCTTCTTATTTCAAATGATCACCAGTTCCCTCAGTCTAAAAATAATCTTGAGTAATGGAAAAAAACAAAAACATAAAAGATCAAATTAATTTCTCATTTGGCAGCACGTGCTCCAACAAACCAAGCAAATTAGGTGCAATTAGATTACAAATTATACAATGATCATCCATATTTGAGGCCAAACTCAAACTGACCAGACTTTATATTCGGGATCAAAATTACCCTTTTGTGACTAAATTGACTAAATGTAGTCCCTAATATAAAAAATATAAAAAAAAGGCACATTACTGCATTTACTAAGAACAGTAACATATAAACCTTTAAAAAAATTAAGTGTTTAAGTGTGCTGTTACCAGGTGACTACTATAGAGTATTAAAGCGCACTTAAGGCCCAATATGGGCCACACATAATATAACAAAACCCTAGTTAAAACCCAGGACAGTGACAACATCCCTGCTAAATCCCTTATACAGTAACTGCACCAACACAATTAACCACCACCAGTGTTTTCTGCAGGATGTTTACATGTCTAAGGATGGAGAAACGTAACGTATATAGATTAATTTCTGAGCTATATTTAAAATAAAAAAGTAAATTAAAAAAAAAAGGTCTACGTGACGGCTGTTTATCCCCAAACCTACAAACTTTCAAGGATTTTTAGGACAGCAATTCATTGTCCATTAACAGATCTTTGTGATTAGATTACGCAACGTGGTTCAGCTCAAGATAACCATCCTTCTTTTCCACCTGAGAGACACAAACGGGGACCTGTTTTATTTTACTGGCCTTTTAAAAATGATAATCTCAACATAATGTGCCGGAAGGTCTAATTTTCCAAAGCTGTGAGGCAGAGTCTACTGTTTAGAGTTTGAGGTTTAGAAGTGATAGACACTAAAAATAAAAACCACACATTATTTTAACTCAATAATCATTAACAGACATTTTAAATTAGTATATTGGTGCCTTCATACTGTATTAAATTAAAAAAAAAAAAAAAAAGTGGAGGTTTGTTTGTGGGGATTAATTACTATTCCACTCAGCAAGAGCAGTACAACACATGTTCAGACAACTACTTAGCTGTAATGCACCATTTAAGGACACCATTTAAGCTACACCACAACTATCAGAGCCAAAATGCTAAAAGGTTATCTAGTCTCATATGACGACGTATTAACAGAGTGTGTGAGCAGCCCTTCTCTCAATATATAGACACCCTCATTGTGACAGACACAAGGGAGGATTCTGAGTACTCAGTGGAGCCCAGAGCCTTGTGTGAATTTGGAGATGGGAAGTGAGCCCTGACACAGCAAACATGAAGGCAAAAAAAACAAAAAACAGTAGTGGCATCAACAGTAACGCCCCCTGGCTGACAGGGGGGTCGAACATTCATCACTCACTCCATAGCGTCTGTGTGCAGGGCTGTCGTCTGTCTGATGTTTGACACTGTGGGCTGGGATCAGTTTGGGCTGGTGTCTCGACCTTCACCTTCGCCCCTCGCGATTTATACTGAGGTGACAGAAAACACACCTCAGTCAAGCTGAGCAGGGTTATCTTGTACCAAGTCTTACCTGGTTGGAGTGTGTACAGAGAGTCAGGGACGAGGCAAACACAGAAACACAGGGGCTAACAAATTAAATAATAAAAAAAAAATAAAAAAAAAAAGGGGGGGTGCCTCTCCAAGAAAATCCCATTACAACTAACCACTTTGAGACTGCAACCTGACCTTAATGCATGTTTCAGTGCAACATCTAACTGCTTTTACACATAAGCTATGAGAAGTGAGAGAATACAGTACACAGAAACCATTACGATCATATCCCTAACTGGACACAGAACAGTGCATTGGGTCGGCCCTAGTTAGGTCACATATGTTTATGTTTGTGTAGCCCTCATTAAAACATGGTTGTAGGAGCTCAGAGAGGAGTTGGTATGTCGTATAAACAGTGCAGGTGAATGTCAGCAGAGGATCAACTTCAACCACGAGCCTCCTGACGAGGCTCAGTACATAAAGAAAATCCCTTAAATGTTACCAAATCATGGGAACTCATCAATATTTTAACTGTTTAGACAAACTGAAAGCAAATGTTGATTACTCAAGGTGTCAGATTTTACAGGTGTAACTACATAAGCAAGATTATCAATTCATTTCACAGGTAAATTTCATGGAGTTTTGCCAATCCATAAATTTATAGTCACATGTATTTCACACACTAACAACGGAGGAATACATGTTTTAAGTGACATATTTAACGGGTTAGGAACTGCTGACTTGTAACATATGAATAAAATCAAAAATAAATGTAGAATATGACAATAAAAAAGGTAAACAAGCTGAGTTTCACCATCTCCAAATGGAGGACAGCAGAAGATAATGTGGACAGGCTTTCACTAGTAACACTCATTAATGTGATAAATGCTAGGATGCATTATTATTTCTTTACACAATCTTATAAAATCCACTCTTTAGGATCCTCTAAGTGTAATTAACATAGCTCAAATGGGGCTTATGGGTGTACCTGCGGCCTGGGGGTAAATGTGAGGGCGTGAATTGAGTTTGATAAACACATAAACAGCCATAATACTCTTTCAGATTGATAAACGTTTAATTAACAAAATGTGTATTTGTAACGTTATGTAACACAACTGAGGCCACTTGGCAGTCCCAAAAAAAAAATAAAAATAAAAATAAAAATCTGGAAAATCTCTCTTCATCATGGGAAAAGGAAAAATAAAAACCTACTCCAGCATGAGCCAGAAAAACAAAGAGTCTAAGGATAATCAAAACAATAAATAAAAAAAAATAAAAGAAATTACCTAAACCATCCACAACACACCGACAGCGCCACCATCAGGCGATTAGAGAGAAACACAGGCCCTGAGCTAGCCGGCTACCACCAAGTAAAAAGGCACAAAAAGTACCCCAGCAAATCAGACCAGTTCTCCTCTGCTTGCAAAAAGAAAACACCCTGCAAAAATGCCGATCAACTTGTAGTCGGATAGTGTGCAGTAATCGATCAGGGAGAATTCTGCATCGATTTAAAACCCCAAAAAGAAGAAGCCTCTGACGCTGCTAAGCTAACTAGCCCCCCCAAAAAATAAAAACAAGGAGAAGTCTTCACAACAAACCACAGGTACACACTCGAGAGAGGAAAAAGGGGGGATGAAACTGTAGCTAAGATGCATCCAAAGCGTCGTGTATATAAAAACAACCACACTTTTTTTTCTTTTTGTTTTTTTTTGAGGAAGAGGAGGAGAGTCTCCGAGTTAGCTTAAAGCTAGCTCCCCTCGTTAGCCAGCAAAAAAAACATCGTGGAGGTAAAAAAAAACAAAAAAAACGTCCAAAAACAAAAGAAAAAGGAAGGAAAAATAAAAAAAAATGTCTGGGAACAAAATACTCACCACGACCTGTACGAGTAAAATGTCTTGCTTTCGGTAAAATCTGTGAAACTGTAACTTATAGGTCGTCCGCCAGCGAGCTAGCTGTCTTCTAGCCGCCGAGCTAACCGAACGAGATGGCGCAGCACCGGATGGAGGCGCTGGTTTTTGTATCACTGGGCAGTCCGAGGGAGCGGGGTCAGCGACTGGGGTATCAATTAGAGGGACACTACGGCCCCCGCGGTGTGACCTGATGCGCAAAACGTGCTCACCTGTTGTCTGGGGAAAGATCAGTCCGTCCTGCCTCCAAAACCAAAAACCTTCACATTTTATTGCTTTGATTTGTCTTTAATTTAGCTTTAAATGTTAATTTTGTAAACAAGTAAACAGACATATGAGTGACACTTGTACTTTATGTCAATATTATGTCGTTTTTTTTTATTTAATAGTTTTATTTTTTTGGCAATAAAGAGAAAATAAATGATATTTAGAGATTTTGTGCTACATTAAATATATTATAATGACACAACCACTTAAAAGATATTTATTTATTTATTTATTTAAAGATATTTGGCGCACTTGTTTGCTTATTTTGTGAAAATTAACACATTAAAATGATGAGACCTTTTGCAAATAGCTGACACACCGTGCAGCTAATTAGCAATCAGCCTAATAAGCTGAATTTGCAGCTGTGATTAATTATGAGTGAGCATTAAATTCCCCTCCTCCTAGAAAAACCCCTATCTTTGCTGGAAGTCTGTATTTTGGTAGTTTGACTCCAGAAAATGCCATTTGAGTGAATATTAGAGGAAAGAAACAAACACACACTATATTTTCTTTTTTATATTTCACTTATTTCCTGCTCACATTCAATAATTGGGTAACAACAGTGGTTATTTTTTTTATTTTATGTCCCATTTCACTTCAGAAACGTTTGATCATTTTATACAAATCAATATTTGTAATTTAAATATTGTGCTTTTGGAAAGAGTTGAAGCAACAGTTTACTGCTGTATTACCACAACCAGTCAGGAGGTGGCACTGCTGTTATGACAATACATGAATGGTGATTCTGGTCCAGGTGTGTGTTCATAAACTGATCTACACAAAATCTCCCACACACAGAAATTTAAATCAGAATACAGGATTATGCCACATTTAGATTGTAATCATACTGATTTGTTGTGTGTCCTCAGTGCAGGACTGTTGGCGTTGTGTTTGATTTTGACAGCAGAGGAACTGAAAGATGTTTAAAACTCTGTCAAAGCCTCTGAACACTCATGGATCACCCAGATTGATGCTTTCATTTACATTTTCCCAGATTAAACGTCTTCACAGCAGCACCTTCCTCTCCCACTGAAGCCGTTAAAGTGGGACAACTTACACCTTTGTTATTACACTGAGTTTGATGAAACATAATCCTATTCATAGCTCTGTCTAATCATCCAGAATAATTGAAAACACCTGTGTGTAAAGGTGTGCAGGACCTTTAAACACAATGCCAGCATGCTCAGATGAGACTTATCTCACACCTCTCTTAGCTTTTTTTTGTTTTTTTTTGTCAAATAAAGCGATCTTAAAACATAAATCGGTGAATGCAGCAGCAAAACTACCCTCCAGGAAATAAGGAGAGAGAGAATAAGCAACACCTGTGCAGGCCGGTGGATCATGAAAAAGAAAGTCAGGTGATCCAGAGAAGCAGGAAACTCTCTGAGGACATCTAGTGTCCAGGTGTGGTACAACAGACCTTTTTTCACAGTTCACATTTTGAGTTGACATTTAATGAAAAATAAAAGTTGTGTTAACACAAATGGTGGTTTATGGTGGGCTTTAATATGTGTTGATGTGTCTAATATATGTGTGTATTTATATTCTAAAGTACATTACTGTTTATCTGTTTATTTTTTGTCTACAGATTTAATTGTGTTGTTAATTGCTCTCAGAGGATTATTATCCTGGTTGGGATGATTAACCACACAGAGAGCTTGTTTATGTGCATATGTAGAAATATATGTGTGGTTTTAACCAGTTTTGACCTGACAAAGATCCATCTAGCATCAAAACCTCATTAATAAAATATTGTTTGTGGCAGTGAGTAAGAGTTGCATTAAGAGTCCCAATAAACCATGGAGGATTACTTTAAAAATGTAATCCGATACAGTTACCAAATACCTGTCAAATAATGTCGTCATCCAAGTATCACAATATTAAAGTTACGCATTACTCTCTGTTACTTTTGGATTACCTCGACATCAAATATGTAAATAAAAACAGAAGAAAATAAACGTTAGTAAGAAGTATTGTGTAATGTATTCTATAAAACAACAGAACAATTGAACCTTTAAGAAGAAAATGGAAACAATTAACATTAACATAACATTTTTATTGCATCACAAATTTCCTCTGCTCATTTTTAAAGAAGAAAAAGATGTATTTTAAAATTTTATTCCTGCTAAATAATCCCAATTTTCACAAAATGTAACAGTAATCTCAATATGTCCTTTCTTCTGTAACTGTAATGGATTAGAGTTGACTCAGTTACATGTAATGTGTTACTCCCCAAGCCTGATAATGCCTCATAACACCTTACTGTAATGCAGTTGTAATATTATTTAATATTTAATCAATATATTCTCCTGACCTCTTGTCACAGTTTGCACTCAGATTATTTGATATTAATGTTTTTTTTTTTGAGGCCTGAAGAAGTAAAAGTATTTCATAATAAGATTGTCAAGATTTGTGAAGAATAAAAAACAGAGATAATTTAACTTATAATAACTTGTTATAGTGACTCCTCCCTGTACGTAGGCATTGTGTATGGGCACCTTACCCACATCCACAACTATTCATTCTTTGTGGTCCCTCTTCACACGAGGTATACTCAGTCCCTTTCCTCCAACACCCCTGGACCCCTCAGATTTACCTTGGATTCACCCCTACGCTGGGAACCACATTGTTATGAAGTCAAAATGTCTGCAAATTTATATTGGACAACTTTTATTCACAAAAAGCTTCAGCTATATTATAAACACTGGACGGAGCCAATATAAAATGTGGGAATCATTTTACTCTCCAAATACGAGAAGAAACCTCGCAGCACTTCTGTGCTTAATAACAACCCGTGGATGATATTCTCACTGCACCTTAGGCCTTTTTTTTCATGGTGGACACTTTGACGTGTTACAGTAGCACAGGTGTAAATAATAAAATGAACAATAGCTGAGTTCCATTTAGCTGCTTCACAGTCCTGCTGTTCTACATGCTGGTTCACTGTCTACAGGTCACTTGAATAGAATAGAGGCATTGTTAATGTTATGAGTAACACCTGTGTTTTCCCTGCTATGACAAGTTAAAATGTCTGCTGTGTAAAAAGGGGACTTTTAATATTTCTGAATGACTCTATTGCACCTGAGGAGGAAGAGAGACAGAAAAGAGAAACGATGGCAAGCAAAAGAGAACAATACCAGCTGTTCTCTGTGTCGAGTTAGCACATTAAAACCCATACAATGTCCCAATTTTTCATGGAGAATATGTTCTTTTGTGAATTGTTTTCACCCATCTGGTTCTGTTTTGAGCCCCGTCCCAAAGGACTTGTTTACAGCTCTCTGCATCATCTCGGGAATCAGTAATACAACTCCAACTTGCAGTTTCACTGTGTAATCAGATATACAGATAAAAGCTTTCTCTGCTTGTTTGCCTCCTTTGTGTATTTATGTCAATCTTAACAGTGAGAAAAAAAAGGGGCCAGATGTTTGACAGGCTGTCACACAGTATGTTCAAGTTTTGATGTGATTGGTACAAATGTGGGAGAGACAGGGAGTGTCATGAGGGTAATATTTAGCATAAATTTTGACCCCAGTATATATTATACAAAGCTGGCAATTACAGAGATCCCATAGAAAAAGACTGCCAGCCAAAAAAGCGGAATATGGTCAAGTATGAGGTCAATACTGAGCACCACAAACACACAGCAGAACATTACAGGAATACCACTGGAAATAAAAATGCCATAAAGTGCAAGAGAACACATGTGAGCTCACTATTACGTACTACAGATGTTGTCAGTTGTTATATAGGAATATTAGTAAACCATAGAAGAGAGGCATGCAATCCTTTACCCCTCGTACAATTGGAGCAATTTGAGGTTGCTGAAGGACACTTTGACCCGCGGACAAGAGCAGCAACCGCCAAAACCTTTGATTAATGGCCGACTCAGCTCTTCCAGCTGAGTTAGACAGTTGCTTTAACCGTAGACTGCACAGTTAAATAAGGTTTTAACACAGGGAGCATAGGAAGGTTAGCTGTGGTGCCAATAAAAAGGTATCAAGTAGCAGGTAGATCACTGTAAATAGATCACCTATAATGGGTTTCTATAAGGAAACTAAATGTTAATAGACTATAAAAATACATCAGAGTGAGCTGCTTATTATAGACCCACGGTTATATTGGTATATAATTATTATTTCATTATCCTACTAAAGCAATTAGTGACATCAGTTCCAGCTCATTTTAGTGAGCCAGATCATTTGGCTCAGCTCAGCATTAAGAGCTCTTTCAGCTCCCAAATTACTCTTCATTTAATACCTCTTCTGGCTTTTCTAATTTAGATCAATTTAGCCAATAGCCAAATTTAACAGTATTTTAACTTATGATTGGTATGTGTGCACATGTTTCACTTAAACTATCGAATGTACTAAACCTTATAATTTCCAGACAACCATTTTTTTAACATTATGTTTGGTAGAAAAAACCTTGAATAATGTAAAAACATCACATGTGTTGTCTCACCGTGCTTGAGTCTTTATGTTTTATAACCACAGTGAAACATTTCCGCATTGTATTTAACAAAGTATGTTATAGGATCATTATTTATTTATTTAAAGGAAAAAGAAAAGAAAAGAAATTGGTAGCAGCTCCAATTGTTAAAGGATCCAACTCCTTCCTTTGGGATATCACTCAGTGGGGTCTTTAATAGTGTTGGAAATAACTTACGATTGATCCAGAGTCCACATTACAATGTTAAAAAAATGACAATGATGGTGTGTTTTTCTTATAGTTTTTTCACGTTGTGGTGCAGAATGATGAAAGTGCAGTTTGACAGTAGAAGTCTGTTTTCACATTCATAGGAACTTTTCTACATTCTCACCTCTCTC